AATGACCCTGGGGATCAACCTAACCACTGCAAGGCTGGGAGATGAAGGGGGAAAAGAGAAGCGCAGGTTGATAGTCCACGTGGAAGAGGTGGATGGAAGGCTACATCTGCGCCTTGTGCGGTGGGTAGTCACAGGTCCTGCCCCTCTCAGACTTCCTCAGCAGCATGTGGCGGCAAGGACCAGAGTCAAGGTTTGAACCAAAGACCTGGAGACAGGAAGGTGCCTGGGGCTCTAACTCTTGAACCATGCGTCCAGACCTTTTTTTCCTCTAGTTTTTTTCTAGATAGGATCTCACATTTTTTCCTGGGACTGGTCTTAGACCATGATCCTTCTGCCTGCACCTCTGGCACAGCTGGGATTACAGACTTGTGTCATCATGCCCAGTTTTATTGGTTGAGATGGGAGTCTTGCTAACTTTTCGCCTGGATTAGCCTGAAATGTGATTCTGCCAAATAGCTGGGATTACAGGTACATTACCACACACCAGACCCCCTGAGACATGCTCTTGATTTATCTGAGACAGCAGGGGTAGAGATGCCTGGTCCCAGCTGTGGCTAGCACGATTCACAGCGCAGCCATACCTCCACTCGGCATGGCTGGGGCCAACCTGGGCTGGTGTGTGCTGACTTAGGGAAAACAGAGCTTTGAGGTGCACATCTGTTTCTTTCCAGCCTCTTCTGTCTGAGAGAATAAACTTGCTAGATCCATCCTTTTTGTCATATGACACTGCTTATAGGTCAACTCACTTGGTGTCCGCAAGCAACAAGGCTCATGAATGTCACCTGCATCTCACAAGCTTTTCTCTTGCCCACTCTCTGAACAGAACACAACCTTCGGTTTCACAAAACCCATCTTGTTCTAAAGCAGAACTGAGTAGTCTCAATAACAGCAAAGGGTCATGACACTGACCTTCACTAACTTGCACTAACTAGGGCTCCTTGGGTACAAGTAACAGATGCCAACTGTTAAGGGCTAAATTGTGTTTCACCCCTAAATCCATGTGTGGAAGCCCGGGCCCCCAGGGCTGCAGAGTGTGACTACATTTGGAGACAGAGGGGGTATTTGGGTCCTCATTTCCAGATTTTATTCATTAACGTCTATTCAGTATGCCATCAACAGTCCTCCTGTGTGCATTCTGCTGAAAAGACATCTAGGAGACTGAGCAAGTTTGTCACTTAATAAGTCTGAATTCACCTTTTCCACTTCTTATAGCACAGGTCATCATTGAAACAGATTGCTTTTTGAACAGATCTTGGTTTTAAAGACTCAGATACCGTGAGTTCTGTATAAACTGGTGGACAGCGGGTTAGTTCCTTTGTTTTGACTTGTAAGCCTCAGCTTCACTGAAGAATTTTTAAAAAAAAAAGCAGGGCCAAAGAAAGCATAATGTTTGTCCCTAGAATTAAAGCTTTCCGGATGGATGGGCTCAACACTGACTCACTGAATAGACTACACGGAAATTGTTCAAGATGTCTTTAGCTTTAATCATTAATAGTTTGAGCAGCACTGTAGTACTGGTTGCTATTTAAAATCAAAACCCTGTTTCTGCATCCCCAAGGAGGTGGCTTGTGTACACAACCATGCCAGCCTGTATCTAGGGGTGTGTCACTACAAATTCCAAAGAAACTGGCTTTCAGAAGGGATCACGAGAATGGCGTTAATCGTCCTTCTTAGCACAGGGACAGTAGCAAGCAAGCACTTAGTAACTGCACACCACAGCAGTGCTGCAGGGCAGAGGCTGTGCCTACCCCCGAGAGCTGTAAAAACTAGCTCGTACATGACATGCAGTGAGAGGCAAAGCAATCCCTCTGTAATAAAATTTTAAAATAAAAAAATGCTCACACATGATAAAGCGAGAGCACACAAGGGAGGGGTGAGGATAGGTAAGACACCTAAAAAATTAGCTAGCATTGTTGCCCTTAATGCAGAGAAACTAAAGCAGATACCTTAAAGCAACTGAGGCCAATAGGAAAAGGGGACCAGGAACTAGAGAAAAGGTGAGATCAAAAAGAATTAACCTAGAAGGTAACACACACGCACAGGAAATTAATGCGAGTCAACTCCCTGTATTCTCCTTATCTCAACCAGCAAAAACCCTTGTTCCTTCCTATTATTGCTTATACCCTCTCTACAACAAAATTAGAAATAAGGGCAAAATAGTTTCTGCTGGGTATTGAGGAGGTGGGGGGGGACAGGGAGAGGGCGGAGTGGGTGGTAAGGGAGGGGTGGGGGCAGCGGGGAGAAATGACCCAAGCCTTGTATGCACATATGAATAATAAAAGAAAAAAAAAAAGAAAAATGCTCACAGTGGTTTGTATCAACTGTGTGTGTTTCCTGACAATACCAGCTAGAGATTCAGAGTACCCTAGGGCTGTCTTATGTCCTAAAGAAAAGGACCATTTCTATCACTCATGGTTCATACAGAAATTTTTCTTAAAGATTAGCTGTACACTTACCCCTCAGATGGCATAAACAGTCCGGGGGGGGTGGGGAGAGGGTTACAGCTTTAACATCTCATTAAAGTTGTTTGCAAAAGGAACAGGGAATCATTTAATTTTTTTTTTCTTAAGAGTTGAATGTCTTTCGTTTTGCTATAACCATGAGCTTTTATTTGTTAAATAAAAATGGGAGGAGGGGCCACACAAACACAGATCTCTCTGAGCAAGCTGACCGTCCACACCACAAGTTTTGAAATGGAAGGTTGCATACTATATGTCATAAGTCCCAACTAAGCAGTGTCACAATGACGCTATTTCTTTGTTCGCTTTTTGGCTATACTTCTCTGTGACAGGTCTTGTGACTTTGGTCTTTTCTCTGCAGGCTCTCAGATCTAAAAGGAACCCATTAGTCTTTCATCCACACTCACCATGGCACCTGTACTGTGAACCTCTCCACAATAACCAAGTGCAGGAGCAGAGTGGCTGGCTGCCTCCGTGCAAAACCAAATATCCATCTTCATCCACCTCCACCTGGTACGTCAACTTTCCAAATCTGTTCCACAGAAGAGGACTCTGGTGACAAATCTCAATGAGACCCAATGCTTCTCACCCACCATGGTTACAGTGGGTGAATGTTTTTCCAGTTTAGCGCTGGATCTTCTTTTGTAGTCATCATAAAACACGTAAGCACATTCGTGGCTCCTTCTGAGAAGACAGCAATTTCCAGTATACTTGACTTTGTAGACCAGGTCAATAAGCTCCAGTGACTGCTCCCCTGTCCATACAGTCCCCAAGAAACAGGTAGCTGCTTTCTGGCGGGAAACCAAAGTATTCCAAAAGTCAAAGTAAATCATAAAATGGCCCATGGGTATCACTACATACTTTGAGGTGTTTCAAGTAGGATAAGCTGAAAGATCTGAGAGTAAGCTCAGTCCTCTGACTTCTTTCCCCCGGAACTGGACATCCTTACTGGCCTGGACCCTCTCAATCCAGCAGCTGTTGGATGATCTGTTCATGCTGAGTTCATCCAGACTTCCATCGCCTTTCACCACCAAGGCCTCCCACACACCCTGCGGCAGGCTTACCCCTCTGCCAGGGATTCACACACCTCTCCCACACCATGGAAGCAGCAGGGACAGCAGATGCCTTAGGTCCTCCCTGCAGGCACCCTGCTCCCTGCTTCCTCCCTCTCTTCCCACTGGAACCACTGAGACAGGGCCTTTGCAGAGGTGATTGGGGATAAAACCAGACATTCGGGCGGGCTCTAATTCAATCTGACTGCAGTTCTCATCAGAACAGAGATGCAGCGCACAGACAGAAGATTACGTGAACAGGCAGCAAGAGGATGGCCATGTGCAAGCCAAGGAGCCAGGCCTCAGGAGACTCCAGTCCTGCCATGACCTTCATCTAGGTCTTCCAGCGTCCAACATCGTGAGGAGGAAAATGTCTACTGTTTCAGCCCTCCGTCTGTGGTATTTTCTTATGGCAGCTGGAACTGCCAGCTCCTGATGAAGAAGGGGACTGGTCACTGCAGGGCTTTGGTTCCAGGACCCCCTTGGGTACCTGAGGGTGCTCAAGTCCCTGACATAAAAGGACACAGTGTTTACACACAATCGACACACATCCTCTTGCACACTTTAACTTATCTCTAGAGGACTTATAATGCCCCAGAAGATGCAAATGCTATGAAAATATCCTTTAGGGACAAGAAACAGGTCTGTACACGTTCACTACATTTGCAACTTTTTCCCCTAAGGTTTTTGACCTGGGTTGGTTGGATCTGCAGATACGGTTGGTTGGATATGAGGCCCCACTCTTTATGGCTTCTGGGTGTCACTGGAACCCCAGGGTCAGAACTCCCTGCCACCTCCCTGCTCCCTGCCTCCCAGCAAACCCTGTCCCCCTCACTGCCTCTGACCCATGCTTTGATCCCCTGTCCAGGCTGAGGCTGTCATGACTCCCACACCCCCTTGTCTAGCTAGAAAGCCCCTGAGTACCCCAAAAAGGTGAGTCTGTCCTCATGAAATTTCATCTGAACAACTTCAAGGATGTGGAAAGCTCTAGAAAGTTCCCTGGATTGGTGGTCTGCAGGCCGGCGGAAAGGGGGCAGGTGTAGGACATCATGGCCGGCTTTGAAAGTGTCTGGCACTTTACGGATCACATGGGCACTCCAGCTTCATTCTGGTCAAGGCAGGAAAAGTGAGCGCTGGCTCAGAACTCACTGCCTTGTTCCGCTCAGACTACTGCGAAGAGTAAGAGCAGAAAATTTGCAAGCAGCCTATGCAAATGTCAGAGTTACAAGCCTGGTGTCACTCCCCCCACCTTGGGGACACTAGACTTGCCCTGAATGGCTGCTCACCCCCACCCTCAGCCTGTCTCCCTGGAGTCCAGGGGGGACTTGGAGCCTTTAAGAGCTCCTGGGGTAGACAGGTGCCATTACCACACTACAAACCCCTTACCAGCAGAGCTGTGTTTGTTCAGGTCCTTTGTCACCACAGCTTGCCTGGTTCCCAGCTCCACATGGCCACGGACTCTGCGGTGGCCAGGAGGGGCCAGTGCTGCCAACCCTGCAGAATCCCGCTCTTCCTCCCCCACTTTCGGGCCACAGGGGAACACAATACCCTGTCATGGCTTCCTGAAAAGCCCAAGCCGCACAGAGATAGATCCTGGTACCAGCAGACCTTCCCCCACACAGGGGCTGCTTGGTCACAGTGGTCACAGTGTGAGGAACATGGAAGAAGGGAGGTCTTGGCCTGGGAGAGGCAGGGCCTTGTGTGGTCACTGGTTGAATGGTCAGCATTCCAGAAGCAGACAGGGTTGCTGGTCACCCAGGCCACCTGTACAGGTTTGCCTTCTCCTGGCTTCCCTTTCTTCTCTTCCACCCGCCATCCCCCACCCACCTACACACACACACACACACATGAATCCACCTGCCTCCTCTCCCTGCATTACTGCAGACACACACCAAATGACAGTGTCACCAGTCCCTTCTCAAGGCAGAGCAGGACACTTAGTAGCCCCTTTCTCAGTGATGCCTTCCGACGAGAGAATTCTTGAAGCCGCAGAGGTCCACCTCCACCCTGAAGGACATGCAAAGCTGGCTCTGGAGTTGGTAACTGTCTTCCAGCTCCTGGGCTGTGGAGGGAAATTATTCCCGTACTGGGCGCCGTTCTCTGACCCTTCCCCAACCCGCCTTCTCTCCCATCTTACCTGTGGCCTGCAGACAAGAAGGAAGCAGTGTGTAACCCTGTCTGCCTCTGTTTGTTCTGTGCAGAACTCAGCAGCTCTCACTCGCCCCCAAAGTGACAGGAGCAGCTGGCGCCACTGAGAAGCTCTTGGACAGCCGAGAAGACCAGGGCCAGGTGTCTTGGTGATGAGGCAGAGAGCACTTCCTGACAGCGAGGAATCGTGGGGAGAGGCACAGGGCACGTGCCAGCTAGGACACCTCATGCATGGGCCGGCAGCACACCAGAGGACAAGATTCCCCCCGCTTCCACCCCTGTACAGGAAGAAGAGAAAAGGGCAGGAGCAGTGAAGAGACTTATAAATCATTACGACACACTGAAATCTACCAGGGATTAGGCAAAAGAAAGTTTGGTTATTTTTACCTCTAACTAGCAGGCAGAGGATATAAGATTGGATACTTGCTGGACACCAGTGGCTCACGCCTGTAATCCCAGCTATTCAGGAGGAAGAGAACAGGAGGATCGAGGTTCAAAGCCAGCCCAGACAAATGGTTCTCAGGACCCTATCTCAACAAAAAACATCATGAAAAAGAGCTGGTGGGAAAAAAAAAGATTGGCTATTTTGTAGAAAAAAAAAAAAAAAGAGAGAGAGAGGCCAAATTTCTTTGCACATCACAGAGGTAAGATGAGTCACATGTGACCAACCCTCTTAATGCATACGTACACAGCACAGATGACTTCAGCAATATGTGCCCTTCCCTCTGTGGCCACGGGCTCTGCATTCTGGGGTTTGATCAGCCATGAATCAGAAATATTTTTAAAACAGTGCCTGCCTTGGATACGTATGGACCTCTTTTCTCGTCATTATTCTTGAAAAGGTAAGCACTGTGAACATGGCATTTCCCTTGTGCTAGGGACAGTGAGTCACAGAGATAATTTAAAGTACACAAGACGGATGAGGGGTTACCTGTGAGTAACCTTGAGCCCTCTTACCAGGGACTTGGGCATCTATAGACCTGCTATTGCTGGGGGTCCTGGAGCCCCCACCCCAGGGACACCAAGGGCCGACTGGGTGCCATGATGTGCAGGGGGCAGGGTCTTCACTCCTGGACTCGTCTCTGGGAAGGCACCTCCTGGCCTCTTGCACATCTTCAGTCCTCCCTCCTCCTGGTGGCCGAGGAGTTTCCTACTGGACTGGTTAACTTGCAGAGAACTGGACCACACAGGGGCCCCTCACTTCTTCCCTCTCTCCAGCCAGCTGCAGAGAGGGAGAGAGTTCCAGCCTCCTGGGCCCCCAGGTACCATGTGCAGCTGTGCCTGGCCCACAGGCACCTGAGGTCAGGTGGGAGGAGGATCCAGGTACCCTTGGCCTGTTTACCTGAGCAATAGAGCAGGGACGACTGCCCAGAGGGGAGCCCTTTCCTAACCACCACGAGGGCACTTTGAGGTCAGGGGTTCCTGTGCTGTCCCCACCCAGGCTGCTCATGTGGCCCGGCCACGCTGGGCTGGGGTGCAGTTGGCTCCACGCCCTTTTATCTGGGCTGCGCTAGGAGTGAGGTGGCAGGGAGACTCAGCTTTCACACCCCTCTGCTCTTGTTCTGTTCCACAGTTTCAGATGTGGGTGGGGGGTCCTTGGAGCGTCATCTCATGCCCTCTGAGCACTGTACTATCAACACTTTCAGACCCCTTGCTCTGGCCTCATACCCTAAGTCTGTACTCCATTTGGGTGAGTACAGGAATCAGAAGGCCATTATTTCTTGAATGTTTAGGGAACACTCGTGGTGTCAGGACATAGTTTCATGATTTGACAAAGCTGTGACTCAGGATTGCTTCTTTTTTTTTTTTTGAGCAGGAAGAGCACTGAGGCAAGTCCTCACTATGTAGCCCAGGCTGGCCTGGAACTCAGGATCCTCTTGCCTCAGCCTCCTGAGTACTGGGATTACAGGCGCATGCTACCAGCTTAGGCCTACTCTTAAACCCTGTGGGTCTTCCTAAATGAGCCTGAAATCTCCGTCCGAGGCCTCCACACTGGAGGCTAGCAGTGACCAAGCCAGCTATATGACACACCGGGACAGCTCCATCCTCTGAGCTACCCACCCCTGCCTCACTATGGACAGTTCCAGTTCCTGTTCAATCCAGGACAAGGAGCCAGCAGTGAAACTGTTGCACTTGACTTCCAACAAAAGGACGATAGTATTTTTAAAAAGAACAAAGAACACAGAATAAATTCATCTCTTTTAATTTTTAAACCAATTTTGCGCACTAAAAGTCAGAGTGGTCATCCGCGTCTCCGGAGGGTTATGATGTAACCGGTGAGGTGGCCGAGCTCCAGCACGACCTCACGAGGCCGGTGTCCAGCTGTGACAAAATCAGGTCCCCTGGGAAGAACTCTAGAAGCTACACTCCTCTGAAGGGAAAAGTGGAGGAGAGAGGCATTCGTGAGAATAAGCATTTTCTTTGACTTTAAGTGACCTCAGGACGTTTTTACTGAAAGTATCAGGAGAATTCTTTAGGAAACACAACTGTTTGTATTTTCATTCTGTTCCCTCCTCTCCTGCCCCAGGAGAGCCATGATCAGCACCAAGGGGGAGGCTTGGGTTCAAGATGTGACAAAGTCAGGGAGGAATGGGCCTCTGGCCAAGTGGACTTTCAGCCCTGACTCTCCGTCCATAATTCAGCCTGATTCGGTTGAAACCATGTCACAGGGTGCCCCAGGGCCATCAGCCTGGAGCCAGAGTTTGGGGAGCATTGCTGACTGGCTCCCAAAACCCCCTGTGGATCCTCTCACCAATCCAGGTCCTGGGACCCCACTGTACTTCAAAAGAAATGGCTAGACATACCTTCTTCAGGGTTCTCAATGGCCAGGGGGTGGAAGCACCACGGGTAACCCATGGTTCTGTCGTTAAAACAGCAGCCTCTGCTTGTGCACTCCTCGGCCGTGATGCCAGAATAACCACAGTTCACCCTCTCCCGGAGGGTCATTGTACATGTGTCTAAGAGTGAGAGTAAGAAGCAGAGGTGAGTCATGGGCTGGATTTCCTGACATTACCATCCACACTCCCACCAGGTCCCTTCTCCAAGGAGGTCAGCCCCTGTCTGGCGATGCTGACAGGAGCCAGGCTCAGGTCACAACAAGGAGATCTGGTCCCTATTTCTAAACGCAGGAACAATGGTGTTCAGGAAAGAGCTGGGGCTGGACTTGCCGACACTGTGCCAATTTATATAACAGAACCGTTCACTCGTTATTTCTACCAACAATCCTTAAATTTTATTCACCCAGTAAGCAAACACTGAGCATCACCCTTGTGTGCTAGAAACAGGAGGTAGCATGTCAATCCGAAAGTAGGCATCATACCTGTGACAGGAGCCCAGAAGTTAAAAGAGAAGGGGGTTACAGTAATAGAGGAAAGAAGACCACACAGTGCAATTGTCCCCCTGTGCCCAGGAGAAGGGCAGGGCAGTGGAGCTCCCAGGAGGGCTCCTTGCAGGAGAAGGCTGGTCAGATGAGGATGTGACAATGGGCAATCTGGGAAGATGGAGGACCATCTGCTGCTGGGGAGGATGGCTGAGGATCCAGCCAGACTGCTCTATGGTCTTGTCCTATGTGGGGACTGCCCAAGCTTTCTAGAAGAAAGGACTCTTGGCTTTGCAGGAAGGATCTGGACCAATCACCCACTTGCTGGTGGCCTCCGTGAAGACATTGGGACTTCACGGAGGCCACAGAGACCCTCCCTAGGGTCCCATTGTAAAGCCAAGATGACCAATGTCCATTCCACAGGTGGTCAGAGGTCAAGAAGACTCAGTACCCCTGTGAAGGCCAGCACCTCCTGGTGACCTACTGCTGCTCAGCTGCTGCTCCCAACAGCAATTAACATTTTCCTGGCCTGTCTACCACTGAATTCTGTCCTGCTCACCCACTATAGTCACATGAGGGAACAAAACAGGAGTGACCACCCTCTAAACTTCTGTTGAAACAGGGTCATGGATCCCATGGAACCCCAAAAGGAGCTGTTGTGCCTTGGCTAGAGGGCAGGGATGAAGGGGGCTGCCAAACTGAACAGTGGCCTGAACTGGGCTCTGAGGTAGGAGAAGGGCAGCACCTGCCCCTCCTCATCCCCGACTCCACCATCATTTCCTCCCTCAGGTTCCGAAGCCCACCTGCTCCCGCTCCCTGCCATGGAGGCTGTGGGCTCCGAGCCCTCGCAGGTCTCCCTCTTCCTCCCAACTCACTCTCCTCCCGCAGCCCCACCTGCGGTCAGAGCGGTGGAAAGTGAGCAGAGCGTCTGGCAGCTCTATGGACACTGTCTGCCACCTCCCTCAACCCACGTTAGCCATAATGCTTTACTCTCCACCGCTGAGGAGCAGCGTGACGTTCTCCCCAGATGGGGACGCTCCTTTCCCTGGCACTTCTCAGGGGCAGGTCTCTGTCACCTGACACCTGCTGCAGTCCCCACCTGCTCTGCTCTTGTCTGTCCTGAGTATGGAATTCCCTTCCAAAGCCTAGACCAGCGGCTGGAAGTAAGCACTGGGTAGCCATGGCTCCCCTAGGCCCTCAGGTTTACTGACTGCACCCAGCAGGAAGCAGGAAGAAGCTTCCTTACCTGCCTGGTCCTCAGCCAGGGTGCTGACAGCCAGCATGAGGACCATGACCAGGACACAGGTCACCTTGTGCTCCATGGCAGCTTCACCTCCTCTCTGCTCCAGAGGAGACCACGAGTCAGCGATGAGAATCTGCCCGGGCTCTTCACTTTATAACATGGGTCCTATTTGCTTAGAGTGTGACATAACGTTTGCTTAGGGAGGTCCCCACCCCTTGACCAAGTACTCTGCACTGATTGCAGGTGTTTCTGAGATGTGGTCACCTGCTGCTTTGAGAGTGCTGATAGGGAGTATGCCATGTCAGGAAGTCATCTCTGTGCGGGGTGTGACATTCAGAATGTCCCCTCTTATCCCATGGGCCGCCTCCTCTGATGTGACAGTGATAGAGGTCCTGGCTGTCTCAGTGGGGATTCTCCCACCAGAGTACACATTGCTGTCCTGCAAGGGAGCTGATTCATAGGGAGAGATGAGCCCCGAGAGGCCTCGTGCTGTCAACAGTGTCCCTTCCAGGCAAGGAGCATAGGAGTCCTGTCCAGCTGACCTTGTCCTTGCACAATGGTTGCTGAGCAGGTTCCAGTTGGTTGGAGAATTCAGGTCTGGTGTGTGGCGGGAGCGCTGTGGCTGGACAAGAGTGTAAGGAAATGAACAGGCCTGCTCCTCGGGCTTTCCTCTCCCTTACGGGATTGACCTACGCACTGCTTCTTTTCTCCACTTGCTTTGTCCTGTGAGACATTTCCATGGCAAATGTGCATGAGAGCAAAGCACCCTTAGGTCCTTCGAGGAGGAAAATGGAACCTATTCAGGGGGCTCTGTTCCAGTGGCATCCACCTTAGGAAGGCAGCAAGCAGTCAGCATCCTGATGAAAGACACTGCGCTCACATCTTGACTGACTGACTGACTGACCTAGGTTATTTCTTCTTTCTTTTCTTTCTGCTTACAGGGGAGTCCTTTTAAGAAAGACAAAGAAAAGAAAGAAGAAATAGTGTCCAAGAACGGATATGGAAAACCGACCAAGTGCACAGATTGGCTCTGCCCACATTTGCTGGCTCCCTGATCCTTTCCCAGGGAGGTTTCCATCTCCCGGGCCATGGTGTCTAAGAGGATGCCCTCCACCCAGCAGCTGTACCCCCACCCGGCTCTGCCCTTTCATAGGCCTCTCTGTCCTCTAACCCACAGTAGACTGCAAGGTGCACAAGGGCAGGGGCTTATCTGCACTGAGGTGGCCCTGTCCTGAAAGCAGCACCCTCAGTAGACAAGCCATCAAAAGCTGCTGAAGAATCGAATAACTGAGCAGCAGAAATGTCTCCTGTTGGTGAAAGCTGAAGAGACACAACATGGCCTCCAAGACGTCCACTCTGTTCTTTCTAGGAGATAAGCCCTGGACCTTTCTAGGAGCGGTCTGAGTTAGAATTGGGACCTTCCAGGGTCCAGTGCCTCCTACAACCCTGAGCGAGTGGAGTCTGCTGGAGAGAGAGAGGCCTGGTGGGCAGGAACAGGGGCCTTCTGCGATGGGGTTGATTTTACCACAAATCAGGGGTGCCAGGCCTTGGGCCATGCGCCTGGTGACAGTGTTTCTTTCCCTCGATTCTGTTTTCTCAGCTCAAGGGGAGCCCTCAGAGAAGGGGATGCAAGCTGTGCAGCCGTCGAGAGGAAAAGCAGATGGTGTTGGCTGAGGTCTCGTGGCACAGACCACAACCCAGTTACTCTGCTGGTTCTGTCCAATGTCTACCCCAGGCAAATGCTGACGCTAGCGTGGAAGGAAACGAGCAGAGACAAGCTTTGCAGCATTCTTATAAAAAAATGGAGGGAGGGAGGGAGGGAAGGAAGAGAGCGAGGCCAGAGCTGACCTCAGAGGGAGGACAGTGGGCCTGGGCTCCGTTCCTCTGCGTCACCTGTTAGATTTCCAGTGGAGGACTATAGCATGATGCCACGCTGCAACCTTTAAATAAAACTCAGTTTAAAATGGAGAAGAAAGTGCAGAACTGAGTGCAAATCCACTAATCAGTGTCTTAACCGTGCTGGTTGTGAGTTTATTATCTGTGAAATAAAGTGGCTGGACCCTGTGATGTTTAATCTAAAACTCCCCTAACGAATTAATCAAGCAAGCAAAAATAAATGAATAAAACCCTCCCTTAAAAAAAGTTAATCATTGTGGGGGGGTACTAGTGGGAGGAGGAGGGAAATAAAAGAGATGAAGGTGATGGTATATGGTAGATGGACTTCATACCTATATGGAACAGACCTAAGACACCTCTTGCAATTGCTTTAAGTGGAGTGGGGAGGGGCTGAGGGGGAGAGACGATGGGGGCAAGGTAAATAACGTACAATAAGTCTAATCGGAATTGTCACTACAAATCCCCTTTGTATAATGAATATATCCTAATTTAAAAAATTTATAGCAAAAAAGGAGAAGGAAGTAAACATAAGCACTAATGGACAAAAAATAATAAAATTGTCTTCCGTTCAAAAAAGTAAGTCATCTAATAAAACTCTCTCCTAAAAAATTAAACAAAATAGACATAACTTGCTCTTAAAAAAAATCAAACAAAAATAAATAAAACTCTCCCTTAAAAATTAAAAGTCTCCTCTAAAAATTAAACAAAAATAGTTTTCCCCTAAAAAATTAAGCAAACAAACAATGACTAACTAAAAACTCTCTCCTAACGGGGAGGTCTCTTCTACACTGCTAGTGGGAATGTAAATTAGTGCATCTGCGATGGAGAACGGTACGGAGGTTCCCAAAACACTAGAAATGGTAAATGATCCAGCAATTCCACCGCTGGCTGTGTATCCAAAGGAGACGACCTCAGCTTGTGGAAGTGACATCTGCCCACCCCCTCCCAGGCCACAGCCACATTAGTCACACCAGCCAAGATGTGGATGGCACCTAAGAGTCCATCGAGTGATGAGAGGATAAAGAAAAGGTAACATATATGTCCTCAATAGAATAATACTCAGCCATGAAAAAGCATGAGGCCCTGTCATTTGTGGTGACATGAATGAACTGCAGGACATTGTTAAGAGAAATACGACAGGCACAGAAACACGAACACCATGTGTTCTCTTCCTATGTGGGAACTAAAAAGTTGAGCTTGACACAGAGAGCAGAACGGTGATTAGCAGAGGCTGGGAGGGTGCAGGATGGAGGGTGGACGGAGGAGGACTATGGGTGCAGGGTGCAGTTGGAGGAGCACTGACTCCTAACGTCTGTAGGCTAGCCATGGCTGACAGCAGTCAACTAAACGTTTCCAAATAGCCAGTGCAGATGCTCCCAACACAAAGATGTGATGTCTGAGGCAATAGATGTGCCAGTCTTGCTGAGCTGGTCTTCATAATTGTGCACCGAAATGTCACACTGCCCCCACACATAGGCACAATTACTATGTGTCATTTAGGGATAAAGGTATACATTAAAAAACAAAGCTCTTCCCTGCCAACTCCCATGACCACAGTGGGCACTGCCTGCTTTGCTGGGCATCAGACGTGTAGTGCTCGTTTATTAATCAGAACCACTCTCCCCACCCCCTTCTCAGTACACCTGGCTAGGCTGGGCTGACAGGCTCCTGGCCCCGAGCCACCTTGTTTCCTGCCGGAAGGGAGCCTGGAAAGAGGACTGGCTCCTCCCATGGTCCTCCCACTGCTCCCTGCCACCCGCCCACCAGCACAGTGCACCCAGCCCTGGCCTCCTGCCTCCTCCAGCTCCAGCTGCCTGGGCGACTCCAGCAGGAGATGGGGGTGAGAGGAAGCGGCCACAGGGTGGGTCACCTGAGTCCCTCCCTACAGGGGAGCCTAGATGGCCACAGTACTCTGAAAACCACAGCATGGCAGCCCCCTCCTTACTCACTCCTCAAGACTGCTGGGTTTAGGACCCCGGAGGGACTGAGCCCCCTTTCTTTCTCTCTCCTCAATGGAGGTGACCAGCCCGAGTCCTGCCAGGCTTTGGATGACACAGAAATTGCCACCCGTGCACAGACTGTCAAAGCGAGGCCCCGAGATCAGGCTCCTCAGGAGTCTGAGGTGCCAGACACTCTCTTGATCAGGGATGCAGTGGCCCTGCTGACACATGGCATGGAATGCCACCACAACCTCCCACACTAAACCGGGAGGGGACAGGCAGTGGAGAAGGGTACCAGGTGGGTGATTAGAGGTGGACGGCCAGGACGATAGATTTCTGGTGACATAAGGGTGATAAAGATTGAGATGAGTTGGTGTCTTCCAAGGGCCCGTCACTGCATTCCAAGAGGAAGAAGACACGGAGCCTTGGGACTATCCCCTGCAAACAGGATGGCCAGCTGAGTCTTCTCACCATTCCTGAAGCAGCTGCAGGAGCTGTGGAGCTCCCATGTGCAGATCAAGTGATCTTCACCTCTGGTCCCCTTACCCCACAGTCTCAGCATCAGTGAGGAGAGAGCGAAACTCAGAGACATGGGCTTGGGGTACTTAGACAGAAATGAAACTGCAGTTTTGAACCCCAGAACCTTCTCTACTGTCCAAGGCAGAGCAGCTTCCCTTTGCTTGGAGGCCTGTGGCAGCCACACCTCGACTCAGACACAGAGACAGAGGTTGGGGACATGGAGGGGTGAATGGGTGAAGGATGTGTGGTGTGCACACACAGTGCAATGCTGCTCAGTGTTATGGGATATTCTTCCTTTTCTAGAATGTTCAGCAAAGTCCCCTGGCCCGAGTGGCCTCGAAAACAGAACTGTTCTGTCCCATAGTGCAGGAGGCCAGAGATGAAAGTGCCATGAGGACAGGGCAGGGTCCCTCTGAGGGACAACCAGCTTGGGCCTCTCTCCCAGCTGCCTGCAGCCTCGCCCGCTCCTGTGGCTTGTAGATGCAGCTGCCTGCACTCACATCACCTCCCCGCTGTGCGTGTCTGTGTGGGGTTTCTCCTTTTTATAAGGAAGCAGTTCTATAGCCACCTCGATGCTCCATCTTAACTCAGTCATCGGCAAAGACCCTACTTCCAAACAAGGTGACACTCACAGGTGCCATGGCGAGGGCTTCCATGCCATGCAACACAAGGCACCAGCAAACAGCCCAGATCATCCTGGGGTGATGACCCTGAGAGAAGGGTT